AAAGCGTTTAGATATGTATAAGTTCGGCCTACTTAAAAATTTGCAAGTAGTTTGTTTTAGTATTACTAATTTTGCTCTGACGGTCCCTCTGAATCCTCACCCTTACATACATCTATCTGCCACTCGGCTCTCCCCTTGACTTAGTCAGGATCCCCGCTCAATCGCTTCGAATTGTTTGGCGAGGTCTACGCCACTGTCCTCTCCAGCTTCCAGATTGTCTCCTGCGGTGTCTTCTTTGACCACCAGGCTTTCACGGACCACGATGGCGTGACGTGGGACCTCTTCGCGCCGTACGCCTACAAACCGACAATGTCCGCCCAGGTGGCAAATGCCATTGATATGAGTGTGCAAACCTTCCGAAATTACACTCAACAGCCCTGGTTCCGAACTCTCAAGGTTGGTCTCGAGCAGGACGTCTTTTTGTATCGTTTGGATTCCCTCGTCAGCTTCCCTTTTACTTCACAGAAGACAAGGCAACAGTCTACCATAGGGCTCACCACGGGTACCAAGCCGCCATAAGTATGTAATACCAGAACGGGTTATATGGGTGGGCCAAAACGGGAGTGCGGGAAAGAAAATAAACGAAGTGTACCAAACACAAACAGAGAATAGTAGGTAAAATTCTCATAAAAACCTAATATATAGCGACGGCAAAGCACGCGATAATTGAAAAATAAAAGTAGAAGGCGGAAAAACGCTCTCTGGGGCACATATTTTATTTGCCCGACGTTTCGAACTCCCACGCGAACTCATTGTCAAGGAATAAAAATGTATAGTTCACCGTGAATTTAGCTCAAAGCTGCCGGGAATGACCTTCAGCTCTGCTATCGATTTTTTTTCGTGCAACGAAGGTCGATATGCCTATTAATTGAATCCGCGTGCGAGTGCCATGCCTCCTGCAACGATACACGACTAATTTTGTTGGTATTTTTTGTTGCCGTTCTTGAAGATGATTGGTTGAGTTTTGGGCTTAATGATTGGTGGGTTAAATCTGCAATTTTCGCTTAAGGATTAGTGGAATAGATGTGCAGTTTTGGTTTGCGCACAACGTAAATATTTTC